TGTCCACCCTTAGGGTTTCTGGATCCTGGGGGTGCCCTGGGGCAAACTTCTCCTCTCTGGTCTCCCACAACAATGAGCAGTGCCAGCCCCTCCGAGTGGCACAGCTCCTTCCAGCTGGCCAAGCTCTTCCTTCATCCCCCCAGAGCCTCCAGGAGGCGAGTGCTCCATTTACAACCAGAGAAGCTGGGCCCAGAGATGTCACATAGCCGGCGGGATGAGGAGGCGCCGCAGCCTTGGGCCTCCAGCTGCCGGCCTGCCAGTCGCTGCCCTGTCGCTGCACAGACAGGGGCCATCTGAATGCAAGTCCGACGCTCAGCCCTGGGAGCTGGAGCTGGAGGTCAGACCAGCCACAGCCTGACTCACCAGCGTCTCCGGAATACTAATGGGGGACACAGGGACACAGCGGGGAGATGAGGCTTCAGAAGGTCCCACTGTGCATGGGATAGGACGTCCTCCAAGAAGCAGGCCTGAGCCCCCACGCCCCTTCCTGCCATCTTGTTCCCACCCTAGCTGCACAGGCCTGGATGACCCAGGGGTGCTGGAATCACCCACCCAGGAGGGCCTGAGCCAAACTCCCTGGGTGACCTCATGGAGAGGCCCCTGCCAGGAGCTCCTGCCACATGCACCAGAGATGGGGAGACCATCTGCTAGATTCAAATTCCACCCCTGCTACTTTCCAGCTGTGTGGCCTCAGGGGAGTTACTTAACCTCTCTGAGCCTCGGTTTTGCCATCTGTATAATGAAGTTGTCTTGAGAGCTAAATGAGTCAACATGTATGAAGCACATAAAGTAGGGTCTGGTCCACAGAAGGGCTCCATATATGTTACCTACTAATGTCATCCCTGCATCCATTCTCCCATCACCCACACAGGAGCACTTCTGTGTGACCTCAGGCAGGCCCCTTAACTTCCCTGAGCCCTGGGTTTTCTTATCTGTGAAATGGAGCACAAGTTCAGGTAAACTGAGGCTCACCTGGGGCCCCATGGATATGGAAAGGCTGTGGGGATATAAAAGTTCATGCTCCAGACCCCAACCCTGGGAGTGCCCAGGACCAGGGTGGGAGGGCAGGCCATGTCTGTGCCTCTCCCTTGTGCCCATCTCTCCTCTGCGGGTGACTCACCCACACTATCTCCGGAGCCCAGGAAGGCCTGCTCTGCATGCCTAATCCAGCCTCCGTGTGCTCCTCACCTTTCCCTCGGGCAGCGTCGGCCTGGCAGGGGGAAGGGGTCCTGGCTGCAGCCACACGCACGCACACACGCATGCACACAGATGGGGCGATGCACCAGGCACCTCACACAAGCACACACCCACGCACAGGCCTGTGCACGGACACCCCTACTGAGGCAGGCCCGCCAGTTACATGTCTAGAAAGTCACATACGTGCACCCTTCCCCATACAAACACACGTGTCCTGCCCTGGCCGCCTTGGGAACTCACCTCGCTGCCCCCACCTCACCACCAGACCAGCTGTCCTGTAGGAACCAGGCTGGCCTGGGCTCCTGTGGTCTGGTCCCTAGCCCTGTCCCTGGACGCAGCACGCAGCCTCAGTGAGGGCACAGCATGGCCCCCCAGGCCTTCCAGCACTCCCCGGGCCTCCCCAGGAGTGGCCGGGCACCAGGGAGGGCAGGGGCCCAGGCAGCTGGACCCCCGATAATAACCCTCCAATGTGCGTTCCTGAGTCCCACCTCCAGGGGCCAGGTGTTTCATTCCGACAACAACCAGTTTTATCTTCATTTCCAGATGAAGAAACCAAAACCAAGAGAGGCTGAGTGACTGTCCCAGGATCACACAGCCTCTAAGCGGCTGAGCGGAGAACCTGCCCATTAACCATGCTGCCACCTGTGTGATGCGAGCTGGGGGAGACAGAGATGTGGGGGAGAAGGGCCTGGGTCTGACCCTGGCTCCAAGTCCTGCTCCAACACCTCGTTGTGTGAGCCCGGTTAAGCCACCTCACCCCTCTGAGCCACAGTTCTCTCATCTGTAAAATGGGGACAGAAACACCAAGCCCACAGGGTTGTCACCAGGATTCCTGATAGTGCAGGGGGCGCTGAGGGGGTTCCTGGCACAGGGCAGGGCTCGGTCAAGGGCCACAGGATTGCCCAGGGCACAAGCCACACGACTGAGTAAATGGGGTGAGGGGGATAGCGCTGATGCGGGCTAGGACATTCGGTGCCAGGGCCTCCTTTAAGCCCTATGCCAATGGTCAGTGCTGGGTACTACCCGGGAGCTGCCCACCCGCAGGACAGAGCTGGGTTCCAGTCCCAGCTCCTCCACATTCTGCCTGCCCGGCCTTGGGAAAGTGGCCTACCTTCTCTGGCCTCAGTTTCCCCATCTATAAAATGGGCATAATTATGCTCCCCTGCAGGACCACGAGCCCAGCACACAGTAGGCACCCAGGACCTGCTGGCCGAGCTCTCGCCAGGGCCCTGATGTGCATCCTCAGCCTGGCGAGCGTACCCTCCCCTCTGCCCCGCTCCCCAGCGCTCCTCTGAGCAACTCACAGATGATTTATACTTCAGAGGACGAATCAATACAATATACGGCCAAAGACATCTTTAATCTCTCGCAGGGATTAGGCGACAAGGTACAGCGGCCTCTTTCTACCAGTCGCTGAATTCTGATTTCAATTTGGCCAGCTGGAGCGCGGCTTTCTCTCTCCCTTTCTTTTCACTCACCTAAAGACGGTCCTCCAAATGAAATTTCAGTGAGCGGGCGGGGCGGAGAGACCCAGCTGCCATACACAAGGGCCCCCAGGGCTGCCACCCTGCACAGAGTGACAGCAGGAGGGTCTGGGGACGTGGGAGGTCTGGCTGGCGGGAGGCCAGGCTCTCGAGATGGGATGGAGTGCAGGGGGCAGGGGCAATGGCAGGAGCACCCCGAGCTGGAGGTCTGGCAGAGTAGCTTTTCTCTTATTTTCTAGAAGTCCTTTTAAAAAATCTTGAGTAGACTTTATTTTTTCTAACTATCCAATGCCTGATTAGATGCCTGTGGAAAAGTCAAACAACAGTCTTAGCTTCAGCCAAAACGCAACGCCCAGACCTCACCCCATCCCGTGCCTCTCCTGCTCTCAACATGTCAGCACATGTCCCTCCAGGCCGTGTGTGTGTGTGTCACTGTCATACCCCCATCCCTTGCGCAGGCCTGGTCCATGTGGGTCTCAGTTAATGTGGTGGGAAATGGGCAGAAGTGACAAGAATGCAGAAGCAGTTAAGACCTTAATCCTGGAGCCAGACGCCTGGGTTCAAATCCCTTCTCCGCCTCTAACTTGCTGTGTGACCACATGCCAGTTATTTGGCCTCTCTGTGCCTCAGCTCCCTCCCCTGTAAAACCGGGGCCCCTCCCTCATAGGGTAGGGAGGATTACCCAGGACAACAGGTGTGAAACAGACGCTCGGGGGGCATGTGCGGGGCACACAGGGAGGCTAGGTAAGTACTGGTGGTGGCTTCCAGGGCCCTCATGGCAGGGACTGAACACTAAGATTCTGGACCTTCTGTCCCTGCGCCCATCCAGCACCTTTGTCCCCAAATCCTGCAGAGGTGGCCCCGTAAACAGAAAGGCATTGGGCTTGTTTGGGGAAGGAGTCAGGCCACTGGGGAGGAGAGGAACCGGCAGCGCAGGGCGGGTGGGGCGGGCCCAGAGAGAGGTGCCCACGTCTGAGCAAAGGAGGAAAGGAGAGGCGGGCAGCCAGAGGGAGGGGCTGGCACCGGGGGTCTGACCCTGCCACCGGGGCCCCAGGGAGCTGCGGCCCACCTGCCTGGAGGTAGCAGTGGGGTCCTGTCCACCCTGTGCTTCCCTCTGCCAGGACCCCACTGCTAGAGTGGGGAGGGCCTGGAGCCGCAGCCATCAGTCTGCGCTGCCCCACCTCCCGGCCCGGCCGCCCTCTCCACCAGGTCACAAGCACCTGGGTGGCTTCAGCTGTACAATTAAAGGGGCTTATCCAAGATTTATAGCAGGATTATGCCTGCAGGGTGTTGCCAACGCCAGCCTCTGGACACTCTGTGCTCCTTAGGAAAAGCAATTAGAGTCCCAGGGTTATGTGGGTATAAATTTACAGACGCCATCCCCCAAGGCCGAGGGCACCACGGTGAGTTACTTAGAGACAGGGCCTTAGGAGAGGGGGCACGGGGGCCCCTCTGCAGGGAGCTGGGTCTGCCAGGAGGGGAAGAGCTTCCTTGCTCCCCACCACACCCCACGCACGACAGGCACCATCCCTCAGCCCCACGGCCCTCACTGAGCCGTCCCTCTTGGCAAGGTTCACCCAACCCAGGTGGAGCCCCCAACCCAGTGGCCAGCCTGCTGCCCTGGACGCCCCAGGTACCAGGTACCACAGTGGTGCCACGGCCCTGCACAAGCTGCTCTCCCTCAGCGCGGCCATCAGGACTGACCCACTCAGAGGCCCAGGCTTCGGGCCCCCATTACATTAGCCTCCGATTGCTTGCTGCTACCTAAAAGCTTTACCACCTGAGCTTCTGAGGACAGCAGTCAAGGGAAGGCAGTGAGCTTACCGGGGGAAAGGTGGCATGTGGTGAGTGGGGACCTCGAGGAGAGCACATCGCTTTCCCACAGTGCCTCAAATCCACCCCAGGGCGCCTCCGGCACTGAAGCCCAAGCCAGCGCAGCCCCGCCCCTCACCCCCACCAGACTGCCCAATTTGAGGGACTCAAACAGGGTCTTGCTCCATGAACCTGCTGGCTGGCCCCCTGGCTCCTAGGTCACTGAGACCCCCTGAAACAAGGCCACCTCTATCCCTCCCCCGTCCTCTCCTCTCTGCCTGAGAACAGCAGCTGTTCCACTGGCTCCCACGCCAGGGACATTGACTGTTCCTCTGTCTGCCTGGCCACGTCTGCAAAAGTCCTTCACCTCCACCCCTGCTCCCAGGAGTCACCCAGTGACTTGGCGAGGCCACGGGCTGGTCCCCAGTGCTCAGGGGAGAGACTGAGGCCCACGAGGGGAATGGCTTGTTCCCCGAGCAGGACCCTGCTGGCGGGCGCCGGACTCACCGTCCTCCCGGGACTTCTGGATGAAGGCCTCCACGCCACTCTCGCCGTAGCTGCCCTCCGAGGCCAGCGTGGAGACGTAGTTCCACTTGAGAGCACGGACGATGTCCACCATGGCCTGGGCCTGGTACGTGTCCGAGGGCACCACGCGGGAGAAGAAGTCATAGCGGCTGTTGTCACTCAGGTCGGGGGCTGTGGAGGCGTAGCTGATCTGGGGGATCTGGAGGCGAGAGGGGCCGTGATGGGGGCGGCTGGCACCCCCACCCGCCCAGCCAGCACCACACCCCTACACACCAACCTCCTTCTGGTCCCCACAGCCTTGGGACAGCCCCAGCCCTGCCCACGGGCACCGCCTCCTCGCGTCCTGGGGGAGACCCTGTGACATGGACTGCACAGGTCCTCGCCCACTTGACAGAGGGGGAAACTGAGACCCAGAGAGGGTGGGCAAATGGCTGGTTAGCCCTGCCCCTAGCTCCAGCCTGGGGTCCCAATGGCCCCCACCTCCACTCAGTTCTCCCCTGATCCTGGCCCTCTCCAGCCCTCCCCACACCTAGCAGGAGTGAGGCTGGCATCAGGCTGAGAAAAACTGGCCCTCCTCCTCCAGAAAGTCTCCCGGCCAGCCTCACCTGGGTCCTGTGGCTGGTGGTCCCCCAACAACACACATGTACACACCACAGAGTCATGGGGGTTACACATACATACATACACACACACACACACACCAGGAGCCTCTGGGTGCCTCGGTTTACATAAAGAGCTGGAAGACCCCCCCAGGGAATCTCCCCAGGTGGATGAGATGGTTGGGCCTGGAGATGGAATGGGGATGAGGGTGTCAAGAGGGGCCCTGAGGGGTCAGCTGGCCCATCTTCTTCCCCAGGCAGCCCCTCATATTACTATCCCCCAGGACCTGTCCCCACAGCTCCCCTTGGGCTCAGGCTCTTTCCTCCTGCCCAGCTCAGAGGAGACAGAGCCTGGGTTCCAGCTCCTCTCAGCCCCTGCCCACCCCACAGATAGAGTTCCAGGAGGCCAGGGTTGGGGGGGCCTCCAGGAAGTCCCTCTTTCACAGCCTGGGACACAGGACCCAGAGAGGCCTCAGCGGCAGACTGCAGGCCTCCCACCCCCAGCCTCAGCTCTCCCAGCTCTCCAAGCACAGAGCACCTTCCTGCCGCCACGGCCCCCACCAGGGGCCTCCCTAGGCACAGGCGAGACACGAGCCCTTAAGCTGCCCTTCCTCCTGGCTGACATCCAACCATCCCCAAAGGACATGGAAGGGGCCGTGTGGACCCTCCTGCACCTTCCCCTCCTCCCTGGCCCACACTCACCACATCCCCAGTGCCGTCCTCACAGGGTCCCTGCGCTGCCCCCGGCTCCCTGGGGCTGGTCAGTCCCATGCTCTCCATTCCCTGCCTTGGGCCACATGAACGCGTGCCCTTCCTGTGTGCCCTCTGCCCTGTTCTCCGTTGTCCAGGGTGACACGGTGAAGGGGTGTGCATATTGATCTGGGCCAATGTCAAATCTAAGATTTTATGCCCCAAGGATCACTAAGATTCAGTTCTGGCCAAAAAACCTCGTGGCCAGATGTCAGTCTCTGTGGCAACCGAGGGTGGGAAATGTTCCAGGGTCAAGAGGTTTGGGGGTGCCCCCTGGACAAGTGGTTCCCCACCTGGCCTTGTCTAGGATGTCCCTATCCCCAGGGACAGCGAGCGTCCACCTTCCACTGAGGACACCCATTAGGAAAAGGGCATGGCCCACCTCAGCCCCTGTGATGCCCCCCAGTGCCCCTCACTGCCTCCCCTCACTGAACTCACTCATGGGAAAGGCCCACGTCCCTGGACCCTCAGAGGTGAGGATAGGGGTGGGGGAAACAGATGATTGTTTTTCTGGATTTGCTGAGCAACTATGGGTTAACTCCTAAGCCCTCTCGTCGTAGTTCCTGTGGTCTTTATAAAATGGTAGGCACTGCATTATTCCCTGTGGCACCATTGTAACCCGGTGAAAAAGCTATGGTCATATAAGGAATACTACACAGCTGAGAAAAAGAACAAGGCAGCTTTCCATGCACTGCTCTGGATGGCTCTCCAAGATGTTGTAGGGTAAAAACAACAGCCACAAAGAAGCAAGGTGTAGATCTACCTGCGAGCAGCACCCTGCTTATCATACGAGGGGGCGGAATATACTCACACAGCTCTGAAACAAAACGGCCAAGTTGCCTCCGGGGAAGGAACCAGGTGGCTGGGGGCGCGGTTGGAGGGGACCTTTCATCTTACACCCTTTGTACATTTTGCCGGTAGAACCATGCAAACATAGCACCTGCTCAGAAAACAAAACCCCATTTGAATCTTCGTGAGCTCACGTGTCCCCTGTCTGCCCGTGTCAGCAGTGTCCAAAGACGAGCCAGTCCTCTGCGCTCTGGAGAGCACTTAGCACAACAGCACCCGCTAAAATGTGGACACTGGTGGACACTGATATTTGACGATTAATTTCCAAAATATTGTGATTTTTAATATCTGATAATGGTGTTGTAGTTGGCGTTGGTTGGCTGGTTTTTGAGGATCCCTGTCTCTCAGAGCTGGGCTCCCCAGCCTCAGCACTATCAACACTGTGGGGGGATAATTCTCCGTTGGGGGCTGTCCTGTGCACTGTAGGATGTTTAGCAGCATCTCCGTCCCCTACACTAGATGCCAGTAGCACCCCCCTCCCCCAGCTGTGACACCAAAAACATCTCTAGACATTGCCAAATGTCCCGGCGGCAGGGAGGCAAAACTGTCCCCAGCTGAGACCCACTGTTTTAGAGATACGCACTGAAATATGCAGGGATGAAGCGATAGGATGACGTGTGGGATTTGCTTCGCAAGAATCGCGCTGGGAGCGTGTGGAAGAAGAATGACATTCACCAAGAGCAGACAACCGCTGCGTGGCGAGCACGTGGGGGCTCGCTGCTCTGTTTGTTGTCCTCTTGTACATGTCTGAAATGGCCGTGTTTTTAAAATTTTTTAACAATAAAACAAAACAAAATAAATGCCACCCCCGGGTCATCCCCCTGAGCAGAAGAGCCCCGAACCCGGAGCTGGAGCTGGAGGAGGTTGGGGGGGTCGCCGGCCAGCGCCGCCCGGCGCCGCCTGCTTCCCAGCAGGTCCTGAGAGAAGATGGTTCTGCGTGTTCGCTTGCTGGCTCACCTCTCCACCCGGTCCTCCGCAACGAGTGCTCATCACACACCCGGGAATCCACTCTCCTCCTCATTAGAAGAAGCTTTTCTCCTACTTCTGATGTTTTCTCCCAGCACAGCGCCCGGGTCAAAAGGGCCCGTGCACAGCAGAGGGGCAGGAGGCCCAGGGAGGTCTCAAGGCTGGAGGCAGACGGGGGGATGGAGCGGCTCACACAGGCGACTTCTCGCTCATCCCTCACTCCTCCTTCCACGCCACCTCCCTGCCTCCCCTCCTGTTCAGGCCCTCAGCGTGGGCAGGGACAACGGATGGACAGATGGATGTCCGGTATTGGGACCAGAGCCCTCCCCCAGTGACCCACTCTTCCAACTCAGGCCCCACCCCTGCCCCACGGCACGCCCCCATTCCCGTAAAGGTAGGAGGGCCGAGCGTGGGGTTCCTGCAGGGTATGCATGTCAGCCTGCAGGAATGCCCCACACCCCTGATTTCAGGAGCCCAGGAGGGGCCCCTGTTCTGCCCCCAACAATTCCTGAGACCCTGGAACAGGAACTCAGCCCTGAGATGGGGTGGGGGACAGCCTCCTGAACAGGGTCCAGGGTATAAGCCAGCATCCTCTTATCCTCTTACATGTCCCCTCTGCCAGCCTCTCCTACCCTGACCCTGCAGGCTCCCTCCTCATCCCCAGGCCCTCCCGGTTTCCCAGGCGGATGGTTTCAAGCAGAGATTTGGGAGCTAAACTGCTCAGGTTCAAATCCTATGTTTGCTCCCCACCAGCTGGGAAACCCTGGGCAAGTTACTTCACCTCTCTGATCCTCAGTTTCCTCGGCTGCAAAATGGGAATAATTACCATCCCTTTCTCACAAGGTTGTGACGGTCACATGTGGGAATTCATGTGAAGCGCTCAGGGTAATGACTCAGAAGGCTAGCTCTTCTGCGACCTGTCATCCCTCCCTCTACACGCTCTCTCACCGGGGCTCTCCTCTTGGCCCCCTCTGACTTTTTTACCTCCTAGGACCGTCCCCTGTGCCTCCCCTCCCGTCCCCAGCTCTCCCTGTCATCCCCTACTTACTGCTGTGCTCAGTGGGTACGCCTCCTCCCGGGAATGCTGACAGGCTCCCCAAGGCTCTCCTCCTTCCCGGTGCCCCCCCAGCCTGGAGTGGAGGGGGGAGAGGCAGGGACCGCCCTGGGTGACTGTGACATCCTGGCCTGACTGGGGCCCTGAGGTCTCTTGAGCTCTGTCTCCACCGCCCAGCCAGAGCGGGAGGGGGACACGCCACTAACATTCTCCTCAGAGGACGTGCCTCTCCTCTCACCACAGCAGCCCAGGAGGGGAGGGAGGCAGCCGTGCCCACCCCACTGCCAGCTCCTCCACCGCTCCGCCTCCCCCTCTCCCTCCCTCCTACCGTCACCCAGCATTTTGAGCACTAACCGTGTACCGGGCACTGTCCTAGGTGCTGGGGACAACACACCTCCCGTCACGCCCTCATGGGGCAAGAGTCAGCCAGAAGCCAGATCCCAGCAGCACCTGACCCACCAGAAGGGTCTTACTCTAGGTCCATCTGTCTGTCCTTTTCTCTTCTCTCTGTCCTCCTCTGCCCACAGAGCCCAGGACCTCATCTCCCTACATCCAAATCTCTGTGTGGCAAATGTCGCCTCCTTCAGGCAGCCCTCCCTGAGCCCTCGTCTTCCAGAGAGCCTGCTCAGACCCCCCCACAGCACCGAGTCAGGCTCCAGGGGCACCAGGCACGAACTCTCAGTGTTGGGACGCTTGGTCTACTTGTCAATTCAACAGGCATTCTAAAGCACCCCCACGTGCCAGGCAAGGCCACAGGGGGAGATGAGAAGGGGAAATGGATTCATCCCACCCCTGAACACTAGTCGACACCCACTGCATCCTGGGAGGGGGCCCCAGAGTGACACGCAGTGTGTCTGCAGCTGGCACCCAGCAGAGCCTCTCACTCACAGAAGAGTGAGTGACTGAAGGGGGAGGGAGCGCATGAATAAACCTCTCTCTCTCTCTCTGGCTTCTGGAGTGACAAGGAGGGCCATTGCCACA